TTTGTTGCTGTTTGTTCTTTGTTTTCTCTCGTAAGTTACCCTCTAATTGCTGAGCTTAAATGTTGGGAGCGACTGCTTATGATAATTAACATTTTATAAGATGAAACCCATATTGTAAGTTTAAATGCTTTACATGTCATTTTAAATAAACAGATGCAGCTTCAGAAGAGAAATATTACATTTGGAAGGTACCACACTCAAATTTTACTGAGCATTATCTGTCAAAACTGTCCCCATTCTTGTAAACAAAAACACAAGTTGATAGTCTTTGTTCCACATATTCAGTTTCCAGTTCTGTCGTAGTAACCTTTTGTTTGAGATGGATGCTGTCTACACCCACAAACTATTGTGCAAAGTTACTTTTTTTCTTTTTTGACTCTTAGTTTGGGAAGAAAAAAAAAATAGAACTTTTGAAATTCCAAATAATTTATTTTTTGGAACTTTCAAGTGCTGGTTTTTAAAGTAAGGCTTGTAAAAAGTTGAGAAGCCTTCTTGTCTGTCTATTATTTTGTTATTGATTCAAACTGAAGTCTTCACTGATTTTGCCATGAGCCAGGCAGGTGGGCCTGCTGAGGTGTCACGGCAGGAAGACGGCAGTCCCATGTTGCTCTTCATCACAAAGCATGGGCAAAATATCACATGTTATCTTTGTCTCCCAAAATTGAGGAGAAAATCAATTAAAAGGAGAAAATCGTATCTGTCAAGCACATGGCTCATCTTTTGTCTTTGTTGTAGCACTCCCATAGACCTAGTAGAGAGGAACGCAGTTTACTCAGATAATCCTTTAGACATCAGGTGATTCTCCCTCTTTTCTCCTTTATTAACCCAGCTTAATAAAGACTTTATTGCTCTGAGAAAAATGTTATCGATTGACGTGTCTCAGGCTACATCTTAAGGTTTGTTGGTTTTCTTTATCATTTTTACATTACTTTTGGGAATATCTGCGCTTTAAATATATTTTTTACAAGGAAAGGGTCGTAAAGTAGGTGTGGTAGATGTTTCATGTGCTGCTCCACAACAAAGGGAGGAAGGTGGACACTTAAAAACACAAAAAGAGTTACTTTACACATATACAGTACGTATACATAGTGCACACTTTTATTGGCATTTGTTGTATTCTGAATATCAAAGCTTTTGGACATTTGTACTTTGCATCACATCAGTGCCTGCTGTTTTAACAGCGTGGAGTGCTGTAAACTGTATGTCTGAGCTCACACCTAATACATGCCTAATACCCCGCTTTTAAACTGTATTAACTTGGCATGGGTTCGCGAGTGATGTGAAACTGTGAACTTGATTCACTGGAATGTAGTAGTCAGCAGCAGAGATCAAAGTATGGAAGTGAAAGCCCTACAGATACTGTCATCCTCTACAAATGTTTAGTGAACCATAACATGTATCTCATTACTGTTACACTCTCCTTTACCCTGGCAACCACTTCCAGTCCTCAAATACAGACCATTTTGCAGTTTGGGTAGCAGTAGTTTAATTTTTTCACCAATATTTACTATAGTTATTTAATTAAAACATTAAAGTATAATGCATTATTTACCAAAAATGTACACTTCCAGGTTTAAATGAGAGGGAAACATCAGTAACAGTGTGAGGTCCTCTCAGAGTCCTTGCGTTGACCTGTACCTGTAAATCTTCAATAAATTGATTGACAATTGTGTGCAGTGATATCCTTATCTATTTCAAAAACGCATTACAACCAAAACCAATAATAGGAACATTAATGTCATGCTTATTCTTTAAATTGATTTTTAACACATTTTGACAGGCGTTTATTCACATGAATTGTGCTACTGAAAGTGTTAGTGGACCATCGCTGTCCCAATGACAGTGATTAATTGATTCCGATTTGTCAAACTGAGCACATGATTGATTGACAGCTGAAACACACATTTTAATGATCGCTCCCAGAATTTATGAAAGGTAGTTTTTGGGAGCCAGATAAAGATATGCATAAAGATATACAATATTGGAACTTCAAAAAGCTTTTGAACTGCAGCAGTCAACATATGAATAAAGGCCTGTTGATACATAATGTACGTACCTGTTTTGGGCTAAACTAAACCTGTGTTGAAGTCGCTTGTTTCTTGTACAATCAGCCAATTCAGAAAAGTAAATTGATCACAACATTGTATCCTCAACAAAACATGGTGGCAGGGTAGTATGATAGCCTCAGTTTCCACTCATACTGTATCAACAGTGTAATACATACCTTGTGTTTGCATTTTCCAGTTTACAGTATACGTTCACCAGTTATTGGTCATACTTTTTCACAAATTCAGCTTGTGATCTGTTTTTATTTTTGACGAGATATTAAACATGAATTATGAGGTTTAAACCTGAACAACCAAATATAGCTGTGGCCGCTTTGTTGGTGGATTTCTGTACCTTGGCAAGTGTGCTGATATGCAGCGCCTTCATCTTCGCCCAAGGCAGTAAGTGAATGTGTAGTGTTGCTAGCATACTTCCAGTAATCTCTCCTAGACTGCTGTGTGTGTCTGGTAAGCCTGTGGTGAGGAGTCTGGCCCAGCGTCATCACCCAGTCTCCCACATTGCCACACATATGGTGCTGCCTTTGTGTCAATTGTGCTCTATGGGGTTTCTAATAATTAACAAGATGACAGACAAATGCAATGACAAGCACAAGGTGGATTTGATTTTCTATCACCTAGTCTTCTGTGTTTCTCAGATGTCTTCAACTGTAGCATTTTGAAACATTTTAGAACAATTTCACCTCTTTCAAAACATTAAACCCACTCCCCACAAAGTCCTCCACTTTGGAAATATCAAATCCAATGAATTGTCTTAGTTCTGTTTTTCATATGTTGTCATGGATTTCTGCATTCTTCCTGTAACTAACTGACAAGCACTAAAAGCACAGCTTCACTAAAACATATGATATTACAAATGGGCCTAAATACACCAACAAAGACTCTGCCAAGGACACTTTTCCTTCATTACTATACAATGCCTAACCATACCCAACTCAAATGGAAAGACACTGTAAAAGACTTGATGTACAAGGGCAAAAACATACCCACTGAAGAACATCATCAAATAATCAGATTTGCCAAACTATGAGCCATAATTGTTGCAATGGATGAATGGTTTGCTGCTGTGTAAATGCTGTTCCATTCAAAACCAATGATACATTGTCAAGGAGAACTTTGTTACTAATCCAGCTGCTAATACCCCTTGGAGTTCAAGAGAATAAGTGTACATACAATGTGTTATGCTTTCTCTCAGACTGGCAGACAATATTTTGTCCACTTGGATTTTTATTTTTATACTTAAACACACTTCAATCTGAATAAGATAATTTGTTAAATTGTGAGACTGACTACATAAAAAGCAAATGATTATAAAGTCTGTTAAGGTTTTTTTAGGAACAGCTACACATGCCTTTCAGTCAACAGTTAAACTATATCTAAGACCTGCATTTTTGAACAAAAATAATAAAAAAAGCCTCTCAGTTTCAGAACTATGTTATTTTTCTTTTGCCACTTCTTTATGAAAAAGTCATCAGGTACATTAAAACAGCAACCGCAGGAGTTTCTTTATGAAAGGCCATGAGTGAATAATTAGCGACATTAGCTTTGTGTTGAATACAGTATATCCATTGCTCTGAACAAAAAAGGGACAAAAAAAGAAAAGCATGTGCACAGTCATCATTTAACTCCAATATAAATTCACCCTTACAAATCCAATTACACAAATATGGTTTTTTATTTTTATATATCATCAACAATCCTTTCTGCTTCTGCCGATATGATCAAAAGGCTTCATTATCATGGCACCATTGCTTGCTGGAGACCCTAATTGGAGCTTCAGCAAAAGCAAGCAACATTTGATATAATGGCTCCCTCCCAAACACGAATGCCAGGCCTGCATTATGGCTTACTTTTTATATTGCTGAATTCCCTGAGGGAAGGACAGAGATGTCATCATTAGTGGGCAGTAGACTCTGGCCGTGGTGCCTGCAATAGCTGCTGAGGTCTATAGAGTGGTCAGCCAGGCCCTTGGCCCAGTAGCTTCTACTCTCTGTTTTCCCTGTCGAGGTTCCCATCTGGCCACGTGACCCTGCGCCAGTATGCTCCCGCTGAATAAATTTGAGGAGCTAATGAGGAAGGAAGCCTTGTGAAGACCTGGAAAAGGGCACCTCTTCCTCTTCTTCTCCTCTGAGAAAAAGAGGGAAAAGTCGCTGTGGTCAATTTTATTAACTTGGCTGACCTTCACACAAACAATTAACATTTACAGAAAACACAGCCCCTCCCATTATCTTCCTCATCTCCATCTTAATCTTCAACCTCACCACCGGCAGCATCGTGTTTTTTTTTTTTCTGCTCCTGCAAGGGGAATTTAACAGAAAAGTAGCAAATTAATGGCAAATCCGTTGCATGTATTCTTAAGACAATTGCAAGGTGATGTGGATTATGCAGTAGAAGGTCAGTTATCTGAAGGTCCTTCTGTAATTGGCTAAGGGCCACTAGTGTCACAGTAAAAAGCCAACTGTGAGCAGTGATTATGTGACCTTATCAACTTACCTACCAAACCACCAGCAAATCTATGTATTCGGACTGAAATCTAAGTCTAGGTCTAGTAAAGATATATTAATGACAAAGAAAACACTTTCTTTGACAGTGTGAGAACCTAAAATAAATTTTCCATATAATCTGTAAGCCATACGTGTGAGTACTTGTCGTTCCATGTCTTTATAAGTGCATCCGAGGAACTGTATGTATGTCTATAAAAAGTATTAAAAGTTTCAAACTGTTAACTAACCAGGTAAGTTGAATAGGAACACACTCAGCAGCTTTGCTTGTATGGACTCCTTTCTCCTCCTGTTGTGTGTGGAACCCTGTCATCCTTGTCTGTGAGGTGATTTTTATCCTGACATGGACAGAAAATGAGATTTGCATTAACAGTAGCTTTCTTTCTCTCTCCCTCTCTCTGTATTTGTGTGTTTGTGTGTGCTCCCCCATTTGTAGAACCTGATAAAGAACCTGCCAGAGCAGAAAGAGCTGAGTGCGCTAGCGGAACTAAAGGGTGAATATGAAGAGCTAGTGGAGTCGGAGCAGTTTGGCATTGTGGTGAGTATAATTTCCTGGTGACTACTGGATCGGCCCAAGAGAACACACAGTATGCACAATCATACTCCCAGTCTGCTAGAGTCAAACACTTGCAAGCATGCACAGTTGAGAAATTCTGTTTTTTATTCATTACTCACTCTTTCTGCCTCTCTATACCACACACATACACTGCACTTTTACACTTTATTTTCCTCCAGCATTGTTTCAGGGGACTGCTGGATTTGGACAGCGGTTTAGCAAGAAACCCAGGAAATCAAGAGATGTATAATTTAGAGGGAGTTGCAGTCATGTTTAATTAAAACATCTGACAATATAAAGGGCATTTTTAATACAAATTTGTTTGTATTTTTTTTTTTTTAACACTCTTGGCTCTAGTAAAGAACAGTTCAATAATTTTTGATAAGTATTCTGCATCAAGAATTCAGTGAATGCCATATTTTTGACATCAGCTGTCAATGTTGTCTCATGATAAGATCATGTCCTAAGGCTATGAATCCTGTCTGTACTGAAGTTCTTTGAAAAGTATGCCGCTGTAGTCAGCAGGCTTGGTGATGTATCCCAATCCTCAGATCGATTTACAATGATTATCCAAAGTTCGATCTTTTCCAGCAATAGAGTATAGTAGTGCTGGGTAACATATTGTAAACTTGGAGTATAGCCTTCAGAAAGTCTTCAAAACAACAAGGTATTCACCAGGCAAACATATAATGATATTCAAGTAATTAGCTATTATATATGAAGTAGGTACAGTAGGAACATTTAAGACCCGATCTGCAAACCTTATCTATTGACATAAATATGGTTTTAAGTTAATGATGTAAAAAAAAAACTTTCATATTCTTGTCCCTTGTCAACCTGTCTTTATCCAGCAATCCTGTGTGTCAAACATGACTCTGATCTTGAGGTGCGTAAACTAATGCACTGGCAACTTGACATAGTACCTTTTCACACTGGCTTGTGTTCTTCCCGGAATTACCTCTAATATGGTGGGTGACTGAAAAAGGCAAAGTTGTACTGTAAATCAGTTGTAGAAGATGGGAAGTACATCATCAAGCTGTTCTGACCTTTCCACTTAGTTACAGCTGTAATTACTTTTTAATTAACTGCTCTTGCCATCAATTTAACAAGTGAATAGCCGGCACTTTAGGCAACTGTAAAAGTAAGTGTTATCTTAAAACTTAACTTTACAACAAGATCATAGAGGTACATTACACAGTTTTACAAAAGAAATGTTCAATTAGACCCAAGGGTTGCAGATGTGCTCCATCTCCCTAGCTACTTTTTTTTTTTTTCTTGCTTATGTCTTTTAGGAGATGTAATGAAGCATGGGGGTGGCAGTTTCCTTCATGATCTCACCAATTTTGTGATCATATACCTCCCCACTGATGAAGTAACTCCTCATTGCAGAGCTATTTAGTTCCCCTGGGAAATAAGCCATGTTCAAGCTTTTCTCTGCCAGAGCTGTCACCAACATGCTTGCTTTCATTGTGATTTCTCCTTATTGTATACAAATCAATTCAAGTGAAGGAGATTGAAGGAGTGTGTGTGTGTGTGTGTGCGTGTGCGTGCGTGCGTGTATACAAAGAATTGAGGTGGGTGGGAATATTGGTGTGGGGCAGGGTTTTTTTTTTTTGACAGACAACTTGCCCATACACATGAATACATTTGAGCAGTAATGAAACATTATGGGCTGGATCTGAGGGTTGCCTTCAAGCACAGGATTATGCAGCAATCTGTAGAATTTGTCTGTGGTTGCTGCTTTGCCACATATCTTACAGCCAAAACCCTATTTGTTTTAATTCCCTCCCATTTCCACAGATATTTTTCTTCTCTCATTTTCATCTGGCTTCAGTGATTTCACTCACAAGCCCACAAGTATTGATTGAGGCTGTTATATTATTTATGACAAATCTGTTTAATGGGGGATTCCTTTGTCCATATGAAAGTCTGGAGGGAGGCAGGAAAGAGGTTAGTCCCATTTGCTAAAGAGGGTAGTTGATTTTCAGTTCATCAAAAGTAGTTGCAGCAGTAATTACACTGGAGAATCAACATGACAGTGATGGCAGGTTTGTGTAACTTAGTAGGATTTCTTCTCTGTCTTTGTTTTATCACATTATGAAAAGCTATTGTAGGAACTCACTTAATAAAATAAAATAATATTCAAATACATTTGAGATTGTGAGTAGTAGTTTTATAGTTAGTATAGTTATAGTGCACTGGCCTGTCAAATCTGTGCATACTGTAAGTGTGGTGACATATTTAACTTATTTCACTGAAGTTAAAAAAAGTGTCATTTTTAAATGGAAAATGTTGTGCCTCTCAAAAGGAGTGTGCAGGTTTGTGTAAACACAAAAGAAAATGATAAATACATTTTTTTTTTTATTGCTGGCTATAAGTCGGTATGTGTTTCTCGCTCCCACTCACAGAGCTTCCGCTTTTAAAAATAAAAAAAAGGACTACCAATGGTTTAAGGCCATCGTGTTATTATAGAATTTTCAGGGAGATCTGACAAAATTAAGTGCGCAAAGAAAGTGCGCACAGGTGGAAGGCAGAATTTGGGACTCCAAACTACTTACATTGTCTTTGTCTACATTGATTTCTTTTTTTATTTATACCCTCAGATGAGTTCAGTGAAACTCCTACGGCCACGTCTCAATGGCATTCTGTTCAAGCTGACGTTTGAGGAGCAGGTGAATAACATCCGACCAGACATCATGAATGTGACATTTGCCTGTGAGGAGGTGAAGAAGAGTGAAGGCTTTTGCAAACTCCTGGAGTTGGTGTTGCTGGTCGGCAATTACATGAATGCAGGCTCAAGGAATGCCCAGACGTTTGGTTTCAACATCAGCTTCCTCTGCAAGGTACCACACAACCACCACACAAAACACAGATTAACACCATGTTGTGAAAATGCTTGAAACATGAACTTCCATTAACAAAAAAGGTGATTCTGAAATTGCTGACTTGAGGCGAGTCTTACTATAGATGAACTGTTTATAAATAGATATTAAAGGTCCATGGTTTAACATTTAGGACGGTTGATTGGCAGAAATGGAATCTAATATTCCTAACTATGTTTTCATTATTGTATAATCACCTGAAAATAAGAATTAATATGTTTGATAGTTTTTGTTGCCTTAGACTCAGCATTTTACATCTACAGTCGCTGCGGTAACCTTACATGGAGGCCGCCATGTTTCAACAGTAGCCCGAAACAGACAAACCAAACACCGACTCTAGATACGCCCGTACGTGTTTGTGCCGCGTCTCACAGCTACCATAGTTTCTCCTCTGTTCTTGGAAGAGAAGGGTGCAGTGAGGGTGTCCTGTTCTGCATCTAAACTGTTCGATGCCACTAAATCCCACATACTGTTCCTTTAAAGATGTCAAATTTACATGTATTAATTTAGCAGATGCTTTTGTACAGTCTAAGCTACAGTAGAGAGAGAGATGCCCCAGAGAATAATCCCGCAAAACACTTCATCTGGCACAATTGCCACAAGGTGGCAGGTACATGAAGTCACACTCTAAGTGCAAAGCAAATTACTTTTTTTGATAGAGAGAGAGGAAGGTATTGAGAGAGTTTGTACTCTTGTAGGAGGTAGTTTGTGAAGTGTTTTTTGAAGGCAGAGAGGGATTCTGCTGACCAAATTGAGTTAGCTAACTCGTTCTACCATTGTGGAACCACACAGACGAGATTTCCTGCCTCACTGTGATGGTAGAATACATTGTCATCATCATACATCATCAAACATTGATGATCTGTTTAACTCAAACCAAATATTCAACATGTTTTAAACAATTTAGTTAACGGAACAATTTATGCATTGCAATTATTATTTAGTCATTGAGATGTAATTATATCATGCTTTAAAACAAGCATTTCCTGCCTTCATCAAGTGTTGCTCTGAAGTAATAAAGACATGCTCATATGATTCTTCTGCTGCATTTTTGAGAAACGGTGATTGAACAGATGTAAACATATGGTAAGTCATAGATTGAGGCCTCTCACAAGAGTGCCTCAAAGGACTTTAGAGGGACTAGGTCTTCTAAGATCTGCAGAACCTAATCAACAATCAAATGAAACATGTTTCAATACAACAAATAACAGAGCCATGATGAGACAGTGGAACTTGAGCCAGGACAAGGCAGCATCTGTGTCCACTGCCAGGTAAAATCACAGCATGCAAAGATGTGAAAGAGAGGACTGGCAGCTATGCACACACATATATACTAAGCACAACCTAGCTGTTGAAAGCAGACGTGTTCGGCTACACACACACACACACACACACACACACACGCATTCACACACACACACACACACACACACACACACACACTCTCAAACTTAGATCAGGCAGGCAGTGAGACAAGAGGCTTTCCTACATTGTGTTCTGAGAGGAAGACTGGTGAGAGAGGAAAGGTAAGAGGAGATACTGTCAGCCCCACTGTAGACAAAGCTAGGGTTAGTCATGTCACAATGAAAACAGGGTTTTAAGCTTGGATTCGAACATGGTACTTAAACCACAAGAGCAAGGTGGGTATAACACCAGGGTGCTGCAGTAGAAAAGTTGTTCTTATTTAATATTTATATACATCAGTGTAATGTGTTCTTTTTTGTTAAGTAAAAAGTCTAACAGTGGCTTTACTATAAATGGTGTCACTGATGTATTGTGATATTTGGTATCAGGATTGGCCATATTGACCAGAGGATGATCTTCAGGTTTCTCTACTAAATCAACAGAATATGAACAAATTAGGATTATACTTAGCCAAAAATCCCCTTTGTTGTCTCGTCCCTTTAAAGTAGCTTTGGCACTGTGTTGTCAGGTAGCATAGGTAACAGTATTTAATGTCTTATCTAAAATGAGTGCTTTGAAATAAACATCCAAAATAAGTTACAAAATACATCTTTTTGGCAGTCTGTGTGAAATTTAAGAAACACTTTATCTTTGGTTTCAGTATTCTCCAACTTTCTGCTCTTCTGTAGCAGCACAACTGTTGAGTAGAAAAAAACAGATCTATCCTAAACGATCATGTCAAATGTCAATGTCATGTCATGTGACAACACTCAACATAAGATATTTCCATATGGGACACCAAGTGTCAGTGCCAAAAGCCACTGCCTTACACACAGATTTGAAACCAGCAATCTTGCAGGTGTTAGTTTCGTATTCGTGCAAGCTGACTGAATCAGTGTGGAGTGTCAGTGTAGAGCCTGGTAATGCCTCAGGGGGCTGATTGGGCCATTATAGATGGACAAGAAAAAAAGTCTGCTTTCTCACTTTAGTCAATCAAGTAAATGGCCCCCTGGGTGGCAGGTCTAGGGTACCTAATGGGCTCATCAGGGAGGAGGAGGTTGATGATGGGAATGAGCAGCAAGGGGACAGGTATAGTCCTGACCCACCTTCAGCCCTCCTCTACAGCCCCTTGTCCTGCCAAGGACACACAGATCTCCTGGGAGCCAGTCTGGTCACATATATTCAGCAACATCCACTCTTCACAAGGACAGTGGTAAATTGTCCATTTCGTGTCACTGTAGTTCAGCATAGAGCAAATGACATGATAGGAAAGTTTTCAGCTCTATTTTTCAAACAATACCTCTATTGTAAGAAATGTTTAAAATGCATAAAATATGCACGATAATTAAGAATGTAGAAGAGACTGTTTCCATAATGAAACATATTGGGTAAATGGATAAAACCATCTGCTGTATTCAAAAACAAAGAAATATTATTTATCTTGGGTCTTATCCCTGTCTTACTGAGGGGAAAAAAACACTTTCACAGGCTCTGCTTAATAATTAAAGACCACATGGCAATGATTTGTGTCCAATTTAGGTTGAACAGAACAGGCTATCTATTAGGTACTTGACTTGGTAACAGGAGTCACTGAGCCAGCATCACTGTAACCATGTGTCCTGCTTTCAAAATATAACATTTTCCTCAGTTGAAACGACTGTTCCAATTTCACGTGTTATTATTCATGTCCACACTGTTGTGTGTGAGGCTATATTCCCATTACCACCTCTTCTATTATTAGTTAATTATTATGTTATTTATTTATTTTAAAATTTAAGGGGAAGCCTGCTTGCTTGTATTATACCTTGCCACTGTAAACGCTAAATGTATTGGAGTGTACGGTACTAAGTAGTGAGGGATTTGAAATAACTCTACCTCAAGGCAATTTCTGTTATGAAAGATTGAATGATATCAGTGCTCAGAATTAGCTTTCCGCAACACGGTAATGAAGCAGCATTTTTCCATCTACTTCAAATTAACAGATTTTTTTGAAGGAGTCACATTCTTACACACTCCATCCAGTTGCACCATTAAAGCATAATGTGATAAGACACATTGTAAGCAGCTAGTGTAAAAATGGCAGCTATAAAAAGGCATTTTATATAGGTGTAGTGTTCAAGGAAAGATTTGGGGTAAAACTCCAGGTAGCTTAAGCTCTTCAAGGAATGCATTCTAAAGCTTAAGAGTTCTGACGGTAAAAGCCTTTTTCACTTTGGGCTTTTAGCACTAAATTTGAAATAATCAGGACAAGGGATGTACTATGATTAAAAATGACCCCAGACTTTGACATAGACCAGCTCACTACAACGTTTGCACAGATACTCCACAGTCCATGGCACAGTTCTCACGATACCTTAAAGCTGCATTGACTTAATTTCCTGATTTAAATTAGTGTGAAAATAACATCAGCGCCTCGGGCTTCATGTAGGATCCCCCTGCCCTTACAGAGGCCCTCAGCAGAATGTGTTCCCACTACCAACAACAGTTCTTTTTACCTCAACATACTCCGTTTCAAAATAAAGTAAATTTCCCACTTTCATATAAACTCTCCTTCTATGTGATCTAATGCCTCAATTGTCTCTGTTACAAATATGTGTTTTAAATATACCATAACATGGCAATTTAATGTTTGATATAATTTTGTTTGCTACTCATTTGCAGACAGTCAGACTAATGTCATTCCCATTATATCTACTGTAACATAAGACAATGGCCCAGTTGTTTTATGTGTTTAAAACCATATTAAAACCTTAAGCCCCCCTCATGTTCAGCCAGTAAAACTAATTTAATGTCTCTTAATGACTCTTTTAATGTAAAATATCCACATTTAAAAAAAAAAAAAGGAGCAGACAAGTTAAAAATGTTTTTTTTCATCCCCACTTATCCGAAATGTATTCTTTTCTGCTGGAAGATGACACCGTTTGCTGCAGTTTACAGTAAACTACTGTAGGTTCTCCTGCGCTGAGGACGGATCAGGGAATGCTTCCAGTAATACAAAAGTCCAAGGGTAAAAAGAACGAGTTGTTCATCATGAAGCACCTGAGTTCTGCAGAATACTGAAAATAAATAAATAAATAAAACAAAAGCAAACAAATGCTGAAACATGATTATTTTTAAAGCTCAATTTTCACCAGGTTGTTTTTTTTTTTAATTCACAATAAACTGAAATGGTCCCAACCTTTCTTTAAAATTCACTTGGAAAATGATATGATAAATTATACTGTACAAATTGTTTCATTAGAGTTGTACATATAATATTAAAAGTACAGGTTTGGGTAGAGCAGTTAGAGTGGTCTGTTTACGAATTAGTGAGTGTGTGTGCTCTGTGGACTCCAGTGGTCCGGTCTTATTATGTCAATGATATTCACCTCACAATGCTAATATGCTTCCAATTTCATCAGATAATTTTAAATGGCTGCCTTATTATGCTTTCTCCACTTATACCCACTGCACTCAATAAAGCCCCAGAGTGTGCCCATTCTCTACCCCTGTATGGGCACTAGATTAGTTCAAGTTAAATATACCACTCTAAATCATTAACACAATGTATCAGAGAGGCTACTACAATCTAGAGATATACAGTGTAATTGTACTGTCTGTTAACATTCACAAATCCCTAAATGATTTTTTTTACCTCTCCCAGTTTACCCTCTCTTTATTACATATTACTAATATTAGTTAGCAGATGAAATCAGCATACCACAGATGCACTTTTTTGTGTTGTAATGACAGTTTGGGGTATAACAATAAACAAATTAAAATTTAAAATCCATGAAATTAAATTGTGATTACCCAACGTGAGCAAATGATTGATCCTCATCTAATGAAACTATGTGTGTGTGCACGTGCGTGTGAGGAGCATGTACACACATGTGTTTGCATGTGCACATGTGTGGGCATGTCCAACTGCAGGCTGTTTACAGCGCGGATATTATCAGTATGAGTACACAGAGGTGGGTTGTGCTAATTAGTTTTCCCAGCATGCCATTCGAACAGCATGGCAATCACGGTAGGGAATGAATATGGAACAAGTTCCGTATGCACTGATGTGGAGACTCCAGCGTCTGTGTAGGAGCACAGACACACACACACACACACACACACACACACACACACACACACACACACACACACACACACACACACACACACACACACACATATACACATAAGCTTGGCAAACATAGTACAGTACTTGCATTCAAACTTTCCTGCCTCACTGTTTTATTCTCATGGGTGTGATATCATTTTATGTGTGTAATATCTACTGTAGGTGTGTGTGTTTCTTTCTTTTTTAACCATCTGTAAGTGCATAATGCATTTTTCTTTTATCTTCTCCTCATGTACTGTGCCTCAATCCAGTCCCTCATTTGATGGAGCTCGACTGAACAGTTAACTAGTACCTATTACACACAGTTCCCTTATTATCTTGATGTCCATGTACCGTACCCTGAAGAGGGCATAAATATTTTCTACTCACATCTTAAATGTGTTTGAAACCCTGGTTCTTGCCGCCATGTGAACACAGATAGATTTAGTTGCACACTGAGTAAGTTAGTTTAAGGTTATGTTGTGTAGTATATTTGACAAGTAAATGATGAAAAATCTGAATGAATAGATTATTAGCATTTTGTAATATTCTTTTTGTTTATTTTTTTTTTTAGCTCCGAGACACAAAATCCATTGGTCAGAATACAACACTTCTTCATTTCCTGGCCGAAAGGTGTGAAGAGAATCATGAAGCAATTTTAAGGTTTCCAGATGAACTGGAGCATGTGGACAGTGCCAGCAAAGGTATGTCTCTTTGTCTTCATGTCTTGAGATCATTGGAAATATCATAATATGCACATGAACATTATTAAAGTGCCAATATCATCTCATAATGAATACAGTCTAGAAAAGGTCTTTCATGTAGGTGATCCAACTACCAAAAGATATCCCTAAATTAATTGTAATTTTCAGCCTGCACTAAATCATTAATTTATTTTCACCACATGAGCACAGGCCATTGACAAATGTCCTCCACACCACATCTTCACCCTTTACTTATCTATTTCATCCCTTGATGGCAGCTAGCAGTCTCTCTTTGTGACAGGAATAGAGTTGTTTGTGTGACCACACTGTCATTCAGCCTGTCAATAAACTAATTCCACTCTAATTCTATTCTCAAGAATTTGGTGGAATCCCTGCAGGCTTATTTACTTTGTTAGTCTCGTAATTGGTTATTTAATCTAATTCAACTAATTATGCACTTGAGTTACGCTGCCAGCCATTGTGTAAGTGGACTGCACAGTCTTCATCTGCTGTGTATATTTAGATGTCTATATGCACAAATTTTGAATTATATCAACTTTGTCATTTCATGGAAATGAAGGAAGTGCCAGTTAATTGACTGAAACCAGTAAATAAATGTCTTCCGGACAAAACCCTCAGGAACTATTTAAGGAGCGGGGATGCAAAAAAAAAAAAACCTGTTTACTCTGGGCACACAAACACCATGCTCCTCTTGTTTCATTGATCATCACATACAATTAAACACGTTTTTTAATTGGATACTGTAGTTAAGGAAACTTCTTGTTTACATTTTGAGACATTAAAAGCGCTGACATGCCTACAGGGCTGCTGAGTTTAATTAGAAGAAGGGTTACCGTTTTTGAACAGGCCAGTGATATTAATTCTGAAAAATCTGCATCATTTCAAATCTTCTTCTCCTTAGTTTTTTTTTGTACCATTAAGAAACACTTCTTTTTTGACCCACTCATGTTTTATTCCACAATCTTTACTGTGTCTTTAGCATGTTGAAGTTAGGTAGATGAGAAAAGCTGAAATCTCTGCCTCAAAAAGCAAATCTATTTTATTAGATTTACTTTGAGGCACAAAGGTACATAGTCATCAGAGGCCATGTGCAGGCCGGCTCCATGTCTTTGAGAAGCTTGTAGAACAGTTGAGCACCGCTGAATTATTTACAACTATCTCCAGATCTTTTACAAGTTTTTGGCCTCCTTTCAGGTAAACTGGCTGAAGAAAATGAAATGAATAGACCGTACACTCTAAAATTAAGTTAAAATAGCCTCTTCTGTTACCTTTTATTTTATTTTCTGTACATTTATTTGCCTTTTAACTCCTCTTTGTTTTTACTTTAATTTATAATGAAACAGTTTTCCTCCAACTTTATTCATATAACTAGCCACCGTTTTGATTATTGTTATTGTTTATTTGGGAACATATTAGCTGTTACCATGGTAACACCTACTCTTCCTGGGCTTCATAATAACAATATACACTATCATCAAAATATTATTTTTAGTTTATTTGGTTTGATAATATCATATCACATACAGTAGATCAGTTGACAGTAAAAGTTTCATCTTCTCACTGGTGAATAAATAGAACATAAACACCATGGTGTTGTGCTTGTGGAGTAATACATTTCAAACCTGTGTAAAGCCTGTTGGCCAAGCTTGTGATTTCTGATTGTTGATTGTCTAGGGGCTTTTGGGGGAGGGGTTGACTTAAAGGGACACTGACAGCGATGTGGGGGATTCAAATGCAATCAAATGGCCATCTACAATGGTTGGAAGTTGTACAATTAACGTAACTCATTGATAAGTGCAATCAGGCCTGGATAATTTCCCTAGGAAATCATAATTTTCCCTGCCTTGATTGGCTGCTTCAGACTTTCACTCATCCAGTGCACAATTTATCAAAGGCATTGGATTGCCACATTGCTGTTGTCTGGTTTTTATTTCCCCACTTTCACCATATTTCAAAATTGTGCCTATTTTTCCCCTAAAGTAATTCAAAATGTCAGTGAATTTTACTGCAGACCTATAAATATTTTAAAAGAAATGTGATTGATTGGTTGGTTGGTTGGTTGATTGATTGATTGATTATTCTATTTTTCAGCCAGTGGCCTACAACAGCTTTTATCGATAATGGCTACAGGTAGCAACAAATGCCTAATTTAGACTGAATTAGATATTACCACCTTTCTGGATCTGCTCGTATTAAATGTATCATTTATCACTTTCTGCAGTGGTATCACAATAGTTCTTGCTTGACTAAAATACTGCAACTAATAGCCTATTTTTTTTACTGTTTAGACCATGATGTCTTTCACATTGTACAACGTGTGAGTGCTGTAGGTCATTGCAATCAAGAGACATTCTGTCATTTACCACTTATTTTCTTGACTCTTACCTTGCTGTCTTACTCTCTTACCTTGCTACAAACATATACATAATATTCAGTTATTGGGGACATTCAATTTTCTTCCTTTGTATAACTTATTACATTAGAAATCAGTATGCCTATAGACTGGAGGCTGAGGAGAGAGAGAATGGAAGCTAGAAGTTAACTTTAACTAAGACAAGTCCAGCACATAGAGTTGTTCCCTCAGGAGATTATTCCTCTCTCCTAGGATTCAGACATTATCAAAGCCTACCTGTATCAGGGTCAGTTTTGATTAAAATTCACATGATTATGAAAGGAGGAAGGGGCAGCAAGCTGCAGATGTTCCAGATAGGGCCTCGACCAAGGAAAGGGCCATGCTTTCAACAATGCACTGTGGACACTGTGGGCTTTACTGAACAGAACAATTATAATATAGTTAAATAAGTATGTTTTGATATTTATTAAACTTTTAGCAGCTCAATTTTTTTTTTTTTTTACAAATGAAATTTTCATCTAAGAACATGTTCAACGTTTGTCTAAAAATATATATTTTATATTTCAGCAATTAAACAGGTTATTAAATTTGCTGTTTTGAGCCTATGCTATTTTTTCTCAAAGTGTTACATAGGATAAAGACTGCAAAATTGTATGAACCCTAACATTAATTCATTTTAGGCACTAATTAAAGTAATGTCTGATCGGCGTTATTTTACTTTGTGTATTATGAGCTCAAATGCTTTTTTAAAAGTTCAAAGGTTTTTTTTACACAGGAGCCTTTCAGCATCCACATTTTCTTACCATACAGAGTTGGAAACTGCTTGAAAGCCACTTTTAAAACCATCCTGCCAGCATCAGTATAATCATGATATCACAAAATGAGAACGACTATTTCTTTAGTGGATGTGAACTTTACTTCACTAAGATAATTTGCATTTAATCAACTAGTCCTTTGTTGCACTGCTAACGGAGGTGTTTTAAGTTTTCTGCAAAAATTAGAGCAAAAAAATATATTGTACTGTAATACTCCTGTATTGTAAGTCATCAAGGACAATGTCTGCCCAGTGATTGTAATATAATGAGGTCCTGCTGAATATAATATAGACCAGCACTTTGCCTTCACTTTCTTTGGTCCGGTCTTCTTGAAAGTAACAATGGCTTCCCACCTCAATTACTTCCATCAAGGAGGTTATTATTTCTGTCTTGCTTGTTGGTTTCTTGTTTTGTTAGGTAGCAGCATATCTGTTTTTATTTAATTTTTTTTAATGGAATTTGTTGAACATTTTGGCCGTGGGCTAAGGAACAAGCCTTTATTTGTTGGTGCCTATACAATCGCACCACAATTGTTGTCAGTGGCAAATCACTTTATTTTCTGTGATGACTCCTGTACTGCAGATTCTTTGATCATGGTTTCAATACAAATATATTACTATGTAAACATCTTTATGTACTCTTCTTATATTTGCATGCAAATTTCAGAACCACAAGCAATTTTAAAAGCTCTAATATACAGTATGTCCATTAGTAAAACAGCCTACAGTGTATTTATGTACACAGTTGGTTATTTGTTAGTTTTTAGCTGCAGGGATGGCCCAATGGGAGCACCCCACCACCAACCAACACACACACACACACCCATGTACAGCTCTCCCAAAGGACATACTTGCAGGGTCTCTTAACCATAATTGTGTCATTTCTGATTCTACAATTCCATTTTATCCATATTATAACATTTTATCTTCCTTTTCTCCCTCTTAAAATTTGCAACTATAATTTTGATTTAATAGAACCTTAGGTTAAATACATATTTTGTGTAGGCCTATTATTTTCTGGATTTGGGCATTAAGCCTCTTAATAACTTCAAAACAACCATTGTTTCGATGGTCTAAACTTCACCTTGAATTATGTAACTGTAGCAGCTGAGCGCAGTGCGGTCAGTGCAGGTTCATTTCCTCAGTCAATTTACTTGCTTTACTCCCAGGTTACACCAAAAATCTATAGAAAAACTATATCTGTAGTCATGTCACCTTTTTGTTACAGAGTTGGCTTCGTCTGGGGATATGTTTTGTGCTGATACTTCAGAGCCATGATCGGGGCTATAGATTCTAACTTGCACAAACCTCAGTCAGAAAGAGGATCAGTGAGTCAGGCAGACTAGACTAACATATTCAACTAAACAACCCTTCTGCCCCTGCACTCTCTCTGCTACTATGAGATGGAGAGGGGGGGTGGCAGGTTAACAAGGGGAATGCATTTGGGTTATTTTCCTAACGAGGGGGATGGCATCCCCCCTCAACTGGCCTACTGCATGTACAGTAGATAACTGCAGCCTTTTCGGAGGTAGAGGGTCTCTGAGCACTTTCTTGTTTAATAGCGGTGTTTTTACCCCTTCAAGTGAATTTGAAAAAAGAAATGAAACCTGTTAGCAGCAGTGGAATTCATCCTCTTCAAGACCACATAAAGCTGTCTCTATGTTGTGAATTGCAGTGCTTACCTAGAACACCTTTATGATATCCCAATTTGAGATTGAATTAAACATTCTTTTTAATTTCAGAATAAGCGGTTTTCTGTTCAGTGGTGTTCCATTGTTTTTCAAGTTGTATTCTCCAGAAAGAAATGGTTGG